TTGCAATGGCTACCGGCAATTAACAACGTCTCCACCGACATGAAGGTATGGTGCCTGCTCAATAAAACTCAATCCCTTGCCTGCAAAACAGCTTCCATCCTTTACGGATGAGGGATTGTTGAGTTTGAGGACCTTGTCAACGCCATTGCTGTATTGCACCCAACTCCGCACTTAGATGGCCTTGACTGGTTTCAACAGCTTTGACCCCAGACCAGCAAAAGCTATGTCAGTTTTGGAGGCAGGTTAGAACACCTTTTCAACTCGTTTCTTGCCCCCCCCCCCCCTGCAACAACCCATCCAGGCAGATACGATCAAGCAGAAGATGCTTATCAATCAACTTGTCGTGGCATCCCCAACTGGTCTTCAGGACAAACTCCAGAAAAAGTGGATTGACAATAGAAACTGGACCTGGGTGGAAGCCATCGCCAAAGCGGAGCATTATCGCTTACATCATCACGCCACTCAGTGCTCCAGAACAGGATCCAGACCCAGTTCCAAATCATCCATGTCTGCATGCCCGCAAACACAATGGTGCGAGGGGCACCATGCCTACGTCCGTCACGCACCCCAAGACTGCTGATTACTCATCAGGCAGCAGGGCCGCACCTTGGCCGCAGGCAACAAAGCAGCATCAGCCCCGCCAGCTACCACTTTGGCTCCACCACAGGCCGCAGCTCCAGCGACAACACAACAAGGGAATACCTTTTTTTTGTTATCATTGTAACGCGCCCAGGCATATCTGCTGCCATTGTCCTCTTAAATTACAGGGAAACGGGCGTGCGCCACAGTGAACGCGGCACACTGTGTGGATACGGACTCTGCCACTCCTCCTCTGATCATCTTACCTCTCCAGATCCGCAATCAGGTCATCCCAGCTCTCCTAGATACTGGGGCCTCTCATGCGTTTATATCTCAACGGTTCGTTGACTCTTTGGCTCTTTGTTCACAACCGTGTTCTATCCACGTCCTCACAGCTCTGACTATGGACAATGCTAAGGTTTCTCAACAGGTTTTACTAGACTTCATGTTCCGTGGTTTTCAATATTCTATTCCATTCTTGATTCTCCCGCATCTCTCCGACCCTCCAATTCTCTTGGGTCGTACTGCTCTACAACATTTCCCTCTGTCACTGATGGTAGATGGAGACCGTGCTTTTGTGGGATTTCAGCGCACAATACAAAACCGCGCGAACCCAACAATGCAGATTGGTGAAGGTATTTCTTTTACAAATGGAACAGTTAAGGAAAGACAGGCAGTTACCTCCCTCTTGACCAAACATGCAGATGTGTTTCATCAATGGTTGGGACGCAGAGGCTTTTTCCCCAAGCACACAGTGGCACTCACCACAGTGTGCGACAAAATACCAAATAACAAATCTTTTTGCCAATCCGCAGATATGAATGTCCTGTTTTCAGTGCTGGTGGACAAGTACGTCAAAGCAGGCATCATCAAACCCGCCTCGTCGCCATATAATTCACCAGCATTCCTGACTTGCAAGAAGAACTCCAACCCCAACGCCTTACCACAGCACCGCTGGCAATTGGTGGAGAATTATCAAGGCATCAACAACATCCTCACCGACGACCGCTACCCCATGCCTGTGATTCAGTACCTGTTGGACGTGCTTGGAAGGAACAATGCTTACTTTTGCAGTCTCCACCTGCATGCAGCATTTCATCACCTCCCGATCTCCTTCTACGATCGTCCAAAGACAGCATTCTGGACCCCAAGGGGTCAAATGCAATACAGGGTGATGCCTTTTGGGCTGAAAAACGGCCCTGCCGTGTTCCAACGTGCGGTAAACCACATCTTGCATGAACATTTCTACACACGTTGCCTTGTATATATGGATGATATAATTGTCTTTGGAACAACATTTGATCAGGTCTATGAAAACTTGGATTTGGTGATCTCTGCACTTGGACAGGCCGGAGCAGCCATCAATCTAGCAAAGTCAACATTTTTAGCCCACAAGACCATCTTCCTTGGTCATGAAATGGACCAGACCGGCACCCAACCCCTCAAGAAGGACCTGGATGCCGTCAGACGATTTCCACAACCAGAGACTACCAGGCAGATGCAGAGGTTCTTGGGCATGGCCACGTACTTACGTGCCCACCTGCCAACTAACTTTGCAACCGCAAAGAAGACGCTGAGATCCATTATCCCCAGCAAGCCCCTCACCAAGCTGACGTGGACTCCCAAAGCAACCGAGGCCTTTATTCACCTCAAGACAATTTTGGCGGAGTCCGCACGTCTTGAACGGATGGCCCCAGACCCACCGACCAAGGTGCACTGAAACGCGTCACTCACCTTGCTGGGCGCCATTCTTGTGCAGATCAACGAGGCGGGCCAGCCACGGGTGGTGGAGTACGCCAGTTGCACTTTGAATGACACTGAGTCCAGGTACTCTAATTCAGAACGCAAACTGTTGGCCATAGTGTGGGCAGTAACCAAGAAATTTAAGCAATATTTGGAGCTTTGCGAGTTTACCGTGTATACAGACCACAATAAAGCCCTCTTGGGCAAACTGAAGACAACTTGGCTGATATACCTCAAAACCAAGCTAACTCAATACCGGGCCACATTAGTCTACAAACGGGGGAAATTTCTGAAAGGACCAGACGCCCTTAGCAGGGTTACAATCAACGCCGCGGAAGGTTGCAAAGTACCCAACAAAAACGTCCAGATCCAGATCATTGATGCCTATCACCTAGAACTTGGGCACGCCGGTTGGAAGAAGATTTACTGTACCCTCAAGGAACATTACAAATGGCCATCTATGCACCAGGACATCTGGAAGAGGATCCAATGCTGTCAGGTGTGTTTCAGATATAACCACTGTACAACCAAAGTAGGGGCGCAGCTTGACCCAATCATCTTGACCCACCCCCGCAAGCGGCTCACGCTGTATTTTTACGGGCCTCTCCCACTGTCAACCAAAGGGAACAAGTACGCGATAGTGGCGGTCAACCATTACAGCAAGTATATCATCACCCAGCCAATCTCCATTGCTGACGCGACTACCTTAATACCCTTCCTTGCCAAAGTGTTTTGACAATTTGGTTTGTTTGATCACGTTCACACCAATAGAGACTCTGTGTTTCAGTCACAGGCATTCAAGTGGTTCTTACAAGATGCAGGAGTTCAGCAGCACATAGCCCAGGCAACGCACCCGGAGGGCAACGGATGCTGCAAGCGGACAATCAAGACGCTTGGTCAAATCCAATCGAAATTTGTTTTGGGAGACACACCAATGTGGGACCAACACATACACCAAGCAGTCTTGGCCTACAATAATACCCCACATTCGGCCACAGGGCTTGCCCCAGCAGAGGTTTTCTTCAACCAACCTGTGTATCTGGAAGCCAACAAAACCTTTGGCATGCATCCGCCTCCAATAAACAACCAGCTAGAGCAACTCCCAGCCACCAACAAGAAGGCGCAAGAGCAGTTTTGTACCCAAGGGCCGCAAGAAGTGGCCTCATTTTCGACCAGGAGATTTGGTAGCCATCCGACCCAGACTTCCTACCATCCACCAACATGCCGCCAATTGCCAATTCAGGATTCAGCAACTGGGTCCCTTCATCGTCATCCGCAACTTTGGTCAGGGAGAGTATCATGTGGGAGAGGGTAAACATATTTGTCGTGCTAATGCCTGGGAATTTATCCCGGTTCGTGGGCTACCCTGTGCACCGGACCCAGTTTGGTCTAACCACCTGCATCTGGTCGTATCCCCAGACGTTGACGATCCTTACTCGGACACCAACTTTCTTTTTGCAGACAAATCAGCAGGATTCTCACCGCAGTTAAACGTGTTCCGAGACCACAACTACATGCCTCCACCTTCTTTACCGACAGTACGTCCCGACCACACTTATCATTCACAAAAAATTCTGTCCTCTTCCCGACGCCCTCATTTTTCTGGGGGGGGGGGGAGAGTAAGGGCCCCGTACCGGAACCCTTATAGCAACATCTATCAGACTCAATCGAAACCTCTTCCGAATATACTCATCTCCCACCCGGAGTCTTGTGCGTGATCTTTATCTTGATGGGAGGAGAGGCGAAGGAGTTCCTGTCCAAGCAGCGGCACTTCGATTTTGGATTGTGTCTCCACAATCCACCAACCTGGCCTTGCACCCCAGGCAAAAAAAGGGTCAGGGTAAAAATTGGTTCTTTCAATGTCACTGGCCCTGAGAAAAGTCTTTGACTGGTCCGCGCCCGCCTGAGACACAAAAAAAAAGGAATATTCCCTTAAACAGGACACTGCCTAGGGCCACAGGACACTGCCTGAGTTGTAACTCGGTGATTCAGTAGAATCTGCTGTTGACGCTCCTCTGAACTTGGAAAACAGTTTCAAAAATTTTGTCATTACAGTATACAGTGCGATTTTTTTCAGCTTTAAAGTTCCCAAGTCGGAATGACCAAGAAACACTTCGGCCGGTATAAAAATCGAAACTTGGAGGAAAGAAAAAAAAAATTGCTCCAAGGTGAAGGATTTTGTTCATTTTATCACTCTGAACTGGGAGATTCATTACCCCACTCGTTGAAATTTTAGAAAAAGTTTCACATTCAACGTCATCTCTGAAAGATCGTTTCTCGTGGAACAAAAAAAAA